AGGGAGTAGACTTTCTTGATACTTTTTCTCCTATTGCGAAACTTGTGACCGTTAAGCTTGTCCTTGCTCTTGCAGCCGCCAAGAATTGGTCTCTTTCCCAATTGGATGTCACGAACGCATTTCTCCATGGAATTCTCGATGAAGAGATATATATGTCCCTGCCCCCTGGTTATACGGCCACTGATGGAAAGGTTCTGCCCCCGAATGCGGTTTGTCGTCTTCACAAATCGCTATACGGCCTGAAGCATGCCTCACGACAATGGTATATCACCTTTGCCAAAGTCTTGCTTGCTGCTGGTTTTGTACAGTCGCAAGCTGACCATACTCTCTTTGTTCGTATGTCTGGGAATTCTTTCGTGGCCCTTTTGGTGTATGTCGATGACATAATAATCACTAGTAATGATGATACTGCCGTTCAATCCTTGAAGTCACTACTCAGTCGAAAGTTTCAGATCAAGGATCTTGGAAGTCTGAAATTTTTCCTCGGTCTCGAGATTGCTCGATCTCGTCAGGGTATTTCTGTTAACTAGCGCAAATATTGCCTGGAACTTATTGAGGATACTGGTCTCCTCGCCTCCAAGCCGGCCTCTACCCCTTTGGATCCGAATACACGACTGACTAAGGATTCAGGGGAGCCTTTATCTGATATTACAAGCTACCGCAAGCTTATCGGCAGATTGCTTTATCTCACGATCACCCGACCCGATGTCACTTTTGTTGTTCACAAGCTCAGCCAGTTTCTTTCGTGTCCAACCTCTGATCACTTACGGGCAGCTCAGCGCGTTGTGCGTTATCTGAAAGGTAACCCCGGCCAAGGCCTTTTCTACTCAGCTACCTCTCCGATTCGTTTGAATGCTTTTGCAGATGCGGACTGGGCATCTTGCCCTGATTCTCGGCGATCTGTTTGCGGTTTCTGCGTCTTTCTTGGAGAATCTCTTCTCTCCTGGAAAGCCAAGAAACAAACTACCGTCTCCCGGAGTAGTACAGAGGCTGAGTATAGGTCTCTTGCCAATGTCACATGCGAGCTTGTTTGGCTCCAGAAGTTGCTGACTGATCTACACGTTGAAGTCTCAGTCCCGACCACTCTATATTGCGATAATAAAACTGCCATCTACATTGCGTCTAATCCTGTTTTCCACGAGCAGACAAAGCATATTGACATCGACTGCCATCTTGTTCGTGAGAAACTCCAATCTGGCTTCTTGAAGATGCTGCACGTTCCTTCTAACAATCAGCTCGCGGATCTCTTCACAAAGCAAGTGCAGCCTGCCCTGTTTTCGACGCTTTTGGGTAAATTACATTTGTCAAGTCTCTTCCTCCCGTCCGTGACTTGAGGGGGGCGTAATACAACTGTAACTCAGCCCAAATATAAATGCTCAGTTAAATTGGAGATGAGCCCAGGCCCATGAAGGAAGAAGAATTCTGTTCGTCGCTGAAAGAGATTCTGTTCTTCCTTTCCTCTCCGTTTCTACGCTCTTTTCATTTCTCACAATTTTGTTAGAGTTTGTTAGAAAATCTGTTATTCTTTTTGTATAAAACCATGTACAGATCGATTGATTCAATATACAGAAAAAATATTTCTTCAAACACTGAAAAATTGTAAAAAATGAAATTGAGTAGTGCAAAATTTAAAATTTAAAATTCGAAAAAGTGAAATTAGAATAAAGTCTCTAAATATATCAATTAAATTATAGTTCCAAATTATATAAGCAATAATATCCGACCCTTAAATATATTCGCTCGAGGAAAATATAAGCGAATTCTATGCATTATCAAAGAATATAGTGGAAAGGAAAATACTTTATTCAAAATTCAACAACCCATTAGAAAAAAAAAATGGAATAAGTTCTTATCTTAAATTGGTTTTCAATTAGGGTTTAGGGAGTAAAGTATCAGCAAATGCCATCACTGACTTTGTAAAGACAAATTTAGTCTTTATGAGTTATAAAGTGGAAAGCATCCGACTTTAAGGGCATGCCTTCTGTCTTTTTCCCAATTATTCTTCTATTTTACCTCTTCTTTTAGAATACTTTTTATTTTAATCTTTATTATTATTATTATTATTATTATTATTATTATTATTATTATTATTATTTATTTGTTTAATTCCGAACTTTTCTCTCTCTAAATACTGTTTAAACTAACAATTAGAAAAATAATACCATTATTTTTTCAGAAAAAAAAATAGGGGGATAGGCTACTTGATCAAGCCTTAATTTTTTTCAGAAAAAAATTCTGCGTCAAGGTTGTAAAAGTTGAGCAATTAGAAAACACCATTATTTTTTTAAATGAATGTTTAATCAGTATACAGAGTTGAATTAAATCAAAATAAATAATATATAAATATTAGATATTAATTTTTTAAAAATAAATCAATCAAAATCTGAATTAGTTATGCAAATAATTTAAAGTCTGATAAAATGATTTTTAAAAAATATTTATTTGTTATGAAAAATGAATTCAATCAACTTTCAACAAAGAGTGAATTAAATATTAATTTAAGAATCGAATAAATATAAACTTTATCAAATAATAAAAACAAGTTTATGGAATTAAAACTCAGAATGTTCGCAATTTGAAGTTAAAATATTTAACGTATGAAATGAAACATTACTTGAGATTGAGACCAAACAATATGAGTGGAAAAGGCAGTTGTCCAATTTTTCGTGAGAACGTGTATAAGGATTTTTGGTGTCACAATTATTTATTTTGATGAGATTTTGCTTCCTTGTAATTTACATAATCATGATTTTCTTTGTTATGTGCATTCAGGAAAATTATTTATGTTACATGATTTTTATTTTAGAATTTGCAGAAAAATCTCTAAAACGGTCTAAATTCCGACAACACCCTCCCTCCTCTCCACGGTAAGTTTTGGATGAAGATTCATTATATAATCCAAACCAAACCAAAACTAAAATTTATTTTTGTTTTGGATCGAGGGGTGGCTTCTGGTTAGAAATCTATACCTAATTAGTGGAGTTAGGGTACTCAAAATTTCGGATATTCTCCTGCCAATGAATCCAAAACGAGATTGTTGAATCCGATTTTTGGATTTGGGTTGGGTTCCATAGTACTCGAACCGGAAAGAGACGAGGCCGTGAAGGGACGAGCACAAGACGTTTCGAGAAAATTTAGGGATTAGGTTTACTTTCTTCCTCCTTAAAGCTTCACCGGTATCAATTCACGTCCGAACTCAAAACCCGGCTCGGCCCAACCCAAAACAATAGTCAGTTTCGCGCCAAAATTTTTCGACCCGAAAAAAATTGGACTTTTGCGCTAGGCTTGAATCGGGTTTCGGGTTTGATTCGGGTCAGCCCAAAAGTCCGATTTTTTTTTAAAAAAGAATTAATAAAAAGATAAATATACAAAGGATTTTGAGCGATGGTCCGGTCTCATCCGAGAACGAGATCTATAAGGCCAGATTTCGGGTTTGGTTATATAAATCCAAAAAAAATCGGACTAACCCAAATTCGAATACGAAACCCTCGAACCGAGTGCGGTCCGGTCCGAGCCGGTCCAATTGACACCCCTCGGTTCCCATCCTCACATTTGCCCTCACAGAGTATTCCGCGGATACTGAAATCTTGTGTCACCCCAAAAATGTCCCCCCCCCCTTCATATGTCAAAAAGAGCCAGCTCGGACCAGATCGGACTAGCTCGTTTCGAGCTAGTTCATTTTCAGCCCAACTCGTTAAGCCCATTTTTATTTGGGCTAGAAAATTTCTGGCTCAACCCAAGTCGCTTAGCTCGCGAGTCGGCTCATATTTTTCTAAATACCTAAAAAAACCATATCAAATTATACAAAACCATATCCAAATGATACATCAACATAAAAAGAATATATCAATACATCCAAATCATACTTATATTCACAATCACAATCCATGTACAAAAAACCATCTTCAAATAGATCAAATCACAATCCGACCATATATAAAAAACCATTTTCAGATTCTAATTCATCCATGTACTATCAAATCCTAATCCATGTAAAAAAAAACATTTTCATATCCAAATCCATGTATAAAAAAATTATTTCCAAATCAAAATATCATACCAAATAATATCAACACCAAGTTTCAACGTAAGAAATCCTTTTTTTTTTTCACTCCAGCTCCCGAGCCAGCTCGCGAGCCGACCGAGCTAGTTCATTTAGGCTCGGCTCCGGGCGAACTGGCTCACTCAGCCCGTTTTTATTTGGGTTCAGATATTCTTAACTCGGCTCGATAAAAAAGGAGCCAACCTCGAACTGGCTCGCGAGCTCGGCTCGTTTTGACATGCCTACGTAAGACCGAGATCGGATAATTGGACAAGGCCAAGATCGAGTACGCCCAACAACGGGTATACCCATTCTCTATCAACTGGAGAAGTTACCATAACTTAGACTAAAAGGATAAGCTGACAACTTTCACTTGTCGGCTAGTTGTTCGGAATAGACTACCCACTCGTGAACGACTACTTGTATGGTTCCCTAACTTACCAATGAATTGCTTGCTGTGTGATGCGGACATTGAATCCACTGATCACCTCTTTTGTCATTGTGATTACACCATGCACATATGAGATAAGCTACTTGAAGGCTCTAGTTTTAGCCGTCCGCAGGTTAATTCTTTTGGTGATTCACTCGCTTGGGTTGCAGGTACTACGACTGATAAAACCTTTAAACTTATTCTTCTATTGTTGTTTCAAACTACGGTATATATTACTTGGAGGGAAAGGAGTATACGGTTGTATGAGAACCAATCGCCCTTGTTCAACTCGGCGACGTCATCGAGCATTAGACACTTATATGACGGTTTACGGACGATGATGATTCTTTATTTACGGTCTGGTTTAGGCACTTGATCTTTGATGGCGTCATTTTTGTTTATCTGGGATTGCTGTTTGTAGTTAGGACTGACGTAATGACTGATTTACAGCCAAACTTTTGTAAGTTTCGGTATATATAAAGGGATTTTACGAGAAAAAAAAAAGATAAGGTGACAACTTGAGAGACATCTATCATAACTAACAAGATTTATTCATCCCAATGCGTGTATCGACACACATTCAGAGAGCCATTTCATTACACGTACGGTTTTCATCGTGGCATAGAACTCGGCTATGTGACCGCGGTCGGGATAGCGGGCCAACAGAGCCGAGCTAGCAACCCTTCAAAGGAGGGCCACAGAGACAGAGGTTATGGGAATAAGCAGAGGGTTTGAACGTTTGAAGCTTCCCGCCCTGTGGAATGCGGCCGCAGAGGCGGTTGAAGCTGACGTCGAAATAGTCGAGCTTGAGACTGGTCAGGCCAGCCGGCAGTTTCCCGTAGATTTGGTTGTGGCTGAGATCCAAAGACAGTAAGCTCTTTCCCAATTTCACCTTCGTTAGATCGAAGTGGAACTTGTTCCTCGACAGGTTCACTCTCACGGTCGTCTTGTTCCGTCCGAAGAACATCGAACCATCTCCCGTGAATCCGTTCCCCGTCAGATCCACAGCATTGAAGTCGTATTTTGATAATGATTGCGGTATATTTCCTGCATCAGTGCAAACGTTCAGAATCTGATCTCAAGAGCCCACACCAAATAAAACAGAAATCCCACAAAAGAATTATCATAAAGGCTGGAACTTTACTGCATTTAAGCAAATCCAAAAAAAAAAACCCACAAGGAATCATAAAGATTGTAGTATTTATCATAGCGAAAACTCATGGTCATAGACCAAATCTGACATAAAGATCGAAACGTTTTGGGGACGAAATTGAGCAAATATTCCACAAAGAATCATAAAGGTTGGAACTTTGTCAAGGAAAACGATTCTTTTTAATACCTGAAAGTCGGTTGTTCATCAGGTAGAGATTCGGGACGTTTCCCACGAAAGAGCCGAACGATTCCGGTATAGAACCGGTAAGCTTGTTATCATTGATCTGTATGGCTTCAATCTTCGGCATCTGGGACAGTGAACCGGGAATCGAACCACTAAACCGGTTAAAGGAGAGATCCAAGAACGTGACTTCCTTGAGCTCGCTGATGAAATCCGGAATCGGACCGGAGAGATCCGTATTCCTTAACCGAAGAGTATCGAGGTGCTTGAGATTGGTTATGGTGCGAGGGATGCTTCCGGTGAGGTGAGAGAGAAAACTGAAGTCAAGGGTCCGGAGAAAAGGGAGGCCTCCGATCGCCGGAGATATCTCGCCGGAGATATTTCCGTTGGAGACTGTGAGGGAAGTAACGCGGCGGCGCGTGCATTCCACACCGGTCCAATTGGTACAGCAGTCGGTTTTGGGGGTCCATGAGGAGAGGAGTGGTGGGTAGTTTAGGGATTTTTTGATCTGCAGAAGGGCTTTTTCGTCATTTGAGTTGCAGGAGGCGGAGGGAGAGACGAGGAGGAGGAGGAAGAAGAGGACAGAGAGGAGAAGAAGCTTCATTGTCGTTCTTCGTGGCAACTCGTAAAGGATTTGGTTGCTATTAATATTAATAATTGGCTAAATAAGACAGGTCTCTTGGATTTTTCTTTTTATTTTTTCCTTTTTTTTTTCAATTTATTTTGGTCTTTGAAGAAAACACGTGAAACGTGGTTTGTCTCTTCATACAGTGAAAACGATGGGGAAGAAGAATCTTTTTATAAGAATATTATTATTTTTTTATTTATTTTTTATGTATACGGATAGTGATGAATGATTGCCGAACAAAAAATTCAAAGTCGTTGATATTGAAATTTCTATTAAAAAAATAACTCTTCAAATTTGGAAATTCATGTCTATTTTTTCCTCTGTCATAATAACTATTTTTGAATTCGCTTTTGTATTAGATTTATTTTTTTTAGATTCCAATTAAATTTGATTTTAACGAAAAGTATTTTAATTTTTTTTGTTTTAGTTTGTTTTTTCAATAATTTTATTTTTACTTTATAGATTGTTTATGTTTACTGAGCCAAAATTTGTGCTTTTAGATTTAAATAGTTTAAATTTAAAAAAAATAAATTTATATAATTAAAATATTTAACTTTTGAATACAATATTTTAAATTAATTTGATTTGATTTAAGACGTATCAAATAGTGAATAAATTTGTTTGTATATTTAACTGTGAATAATAATAATAATAATAATAATAATAATAATAATAATAATCATAATAATCATCATCATCCAAACTAGGCGTGAATTTATGTCCGACCCGAGTCCATCCAAAAAATATCGAGATTCGAACTTAAATTTTTTGCCAAAAAAAATTAAGTTTTCGGATCGGGCTCAATTTAGATAGATCCGAAAGCGTGATATTTTTTAAAAAAATTAATTGAAAAAAGAAAAAATTTGGTTTAGTAGTGGAGACGAACGAGTTTTACTGTCTGAAAAGGTGGTCATGTTTTATGCATGAAGCGTCCGTACGTAGCAGCTAAGCAGCAGGACATAGAGCACATGGAGAGGGCATCATTATATCCGACAAATAATGCATATATATATATATATATATGTGTGTGTGCACATAATGCATGAGCAATGTGATGTCATAATGGGCATGCCGACCATCATCAATGTGGATGGAGATAATTGCAAAAATACTCTTAAATGATACATTATACCTTTCATTCAAGTTATACATTTCATTTAAAAAAAAAGAAATTATATTTATCGTTATAAATATGCATTTTCAATAATACCTATTATTTTCTATTTAATATAATTATATAAAAATAAGTTTTTTTCTCTCTCTTCAGTGTTGTTTTCTCTCTTCCGTCACTCACTCTATTATACTTTCTCTTTGATTACGCTCTCTCTCTTCGAATCTTCTCTCTTCCATATGATTTCTCATTTAATTAATTATAAAAAATAAGTGAAATCTTCAAAAAATTTATCTATTAAACAAAAATTTCGATAATAAACAAATTTTCCTTCCAAAAAATGATATTTATTTTGGACATTTATGATTTATTATTTTTTTATCTTTAAATTTGATCTATATGATATAAATGAATAAAATAAAATATATATGAGTAACACGTCGTATTATATAGACATAAATAAGTTAAATCAATATTACAATTATTAACATGTTTAGAGTGCGAAAATGATAAATTCGCGAAATTCGTTAGAGAGTGACGAATTTGACTAGTTTGACAGTGCGACGAGTCAAACTGGTCAAATGATGGTCTAAATTAAATTTTAAAGGTTTAATGTGGTATATAGGGCTTATTATAGCGTATTTCGCGTTTTTTTGTTATTCGTAAATCATGCTGAAAAATAATATAATCTACCCTAAGCTAATATGTTATAAAAAGTGTACTAGAACTTTTGAGTTTCTTTTAGAATGACATGCATTGTAAAAAAAATAAGGTGCTAAATTTAGAGAGTTGCGATTATTTTTTACTTATAAAAATTGTTATATGGACTGTTTATTAACATGTTTATAGTGTGAAAATGTTAAATTCGCGAAATTCGTGAGGGTGGGACGAGTTTGACTAGTTTGACGGTGCGACGAGTATAATAGTGTTGATGGTTGTGATGCTCTATTATGATCGTATGATATGAGAACCTATGTATTATGATGAATTCATTGGATGAATGCATTGCTTGTTCATTATTTATTTTGCATATTTGTTAAATAATGACATCCATGGATCGTTATAAACGATCATAAACTCTTTAGTCGCTTGTCATTGTGGGAGTAATGATGAATTAAGACTAACATGAAGCGTGATGGATGATCATAGTGACGATCATGTGTATTGGATACGGATCATGATCATGAGTACTTGTTTGGAACAAGTGACTGGATGTCGTGTGAGATTGTGGATTAGCATGTTATCCATGACTTGAATCTCACATGATGGTTCACTTTGGATCCTTAGACCTGAGATATCTATTGTATCCAACATGAGGAGTAATGTGCTTTGACTGCGTCAAACGTCTTCTTTAACTGGATGATTATAACGACGTGTTTCAGATACATTACGAATCATGTAGTGGATAGTAGATAGTCAAGATAGAACTTTTTCCCTCTCAAAAGAGAGAGATATCCTTGGACCCGTCGTAGGAGTGAGCCTGTGAAAATGTGTGGCCGCACTATAGATGAATGTCATCTATCTCTTACAGTCTACTCGGGATGCGACAAAGCAATCAAAATGTGTTTTGATTTATGATATCGTGAGACAAAGAGGATCATAGTTGGAGCTATCTCTGGCTTTCGTTTAGATCACATCTAACTCTTTCTGATATTGATAACATGATTTTTCTCTCTATTTCAAGGCTCATTGTCTAGTACTTTCGCATCGGTTTTGTGCACTATTAGACATTTAGGATCATTTTAGGACTAGGTTGTGTTTCTTTTGCATTCTTTGGTGGTTGAACAGGTAACAGATACATTATGGGCAACAGAGAAGCATAATCGAGGATTTCAGGGCAAGTTGGATCGGAACAGAACGCAAAGCATATTTCTAGCTCGAGTTGCATCTGAACATGGCCATGTCGAGTCCTAACACGGTCGTGCAGAAGTGAAGAAACGAAGAAATTATTACAGACAATCTGCACAGACCGTGTCGTATATTGACACGCCCTGTCGACTTGCAGCTCGACCGTGTTCAGCCCGTGCAGAAGTGTAAAAATTTGATCAGACAATTGACACGAACCGTGCTGTCATTCGATACGGCCGTGTTGCCTTACGGAAAAACTTCCAATTTTTCGTCCGAACTTCCATTTTCAGCAAAGGAAGAAGCCTAGCTGACGAGCGAGTAAATAGAAGACGTCTTGGGCTTCAGAAATCATTGAGAGATCACAGAAGAAGCCAGAGAACTCGAGGGAGAATCAAGACGGAGTTTTCGGAAGCAGAGCTTGAAGAATCTTCGTCGAGAGATCGCTGCGAGTTTCTTCTCTATATGTTTTCCATGTTTCTCTTTATTGATTTGAACTCGTTTGTTGTTATGGGTCGTGAGTAGTCGTTTCACTATAGCTAGGGATTTTACCTTGTAGGGATTTGCTTGGTTTTTATTTTCTGGACTACATTATCGATACTCGTCGGTTTGATTGAATTGAGTTTATTGCTTTTAATCTTCTTGGCCTGTTGATTGATTGATCTTAAATTCTGATTTGCAACGAAAGTTGAGATTAGATTCGGAATGAATTCATTAAATGAATTGATTAAGACTATTGAAAGATAGGTTCATCGATTTAGGAACCGTGATAATATTCTTTAATGCGTTTGATATTTTAATCTATTAGATTGAGAGATCGATAGGTTAAATTATTGGATAATGAGTTTAGGAATTGAAAGAGCCAAATCTGATATTAGAACTTGAGATCCCCGATTAGAGTTCAATATTCGTAGATTCTCCATCCTTAGAAACAATCCCTGTGCGTTAAGCTTATCCCGAAGCTACGGTGGTTTAGTTATCTGATTTTACTTAGTTTGTTTATTGTTTTATTTCCGATATTCACATATTTCATCTGCTATTTCCCGATCTGATTCTTGGTTGAGTCTTATACTTGGAGTTAACTATTCCCTGTGTTCAACCCTGGTACTACAGTTGATCCGTATCCTTGCGGTATTCGCTGTATCTAGTTTTTTATTACTTGAGGTTTTTTATACACCTAGATTAATGTTATCAAGTTTTTGGCGCAGTTGTCGGAGAATAGATTAGCGCTAGGATAAAGATTCCTCTGAATCTTGACCCTTTCTCATTTACTTTTATCCAGTTCCTGATCTATTATGGTTCTTTGTTCTAATTTTCTGGTGTGTAGGCTTTGCCGGTGTATGACACAACAGAAGAAGATAGAGGAATGTGCTTTAGTTGTTGAGAATGACAATGACACCTATGGGGCATATCTTCAACCAAAGTATACTCAACAGCTTTCATGCATTCGCAGGTCCGACATAGATCGCAATAAGTTTGAATTTTAGCTGGCATTCATCAGTATGCTCAGCTCATCAGCATTTAGGGGTAGACCTAATGAAGATCCAATTCCCCATCTGACTCGGTTCAAACTGCTATGCTAGTCTGTGAAGACGGTTCAAGGAGTCATGGATGAGTCGCTTATGCTAATGACTTTTCCATTCTCTTTAATGGATGTTGCGCTAGAATGGCTCTACACATTGCCACCGGATTCCATTTTTTCTTGGGATTAGATGCAAGAGAAATTTATGCAGCGATTTTCCCCTGCTAGTAAGACCCAACTCGCAAAGCAACAGATTAACTCTTTTATGCAGGAACATGATGAATCGTTGCGCGAAACTTAGGACTGATTCCTTGGATATCAGCAACTTTGCCCTCATCTCGGATTGGACAAGAGGTATCTTATCTTTCTTGCAGGCTCTGAAGGAAGATACTCGGGTTCTCATTTGAGTTTCTTGTGGAGGAAGCCTCAATGAGAAGTCTTTCGACTTCATTGAACAACATATCACTAAGGCTAACGAGTGCGCCCCTTCCCACGAATTCGTCAGAAGTATTGGTCTTAAAGACAACCGC